GCGCGATGCATTATGGGAAATGTCCCATAATGCACCGCGCAGGATCCTCGTGATGTCACAAAGGTCCCGCGCGGTGCATTATGGGACATTTCCCATGATGCAACGCACGGAGAGGAGGACGAAGGGGAGTGGAGGAGGAGGGGGAGGGGGACGAGAGGGAGGGGTGGGGGAGGAGGGGGAAGAGGCATGATGAGGAGGAGGAGAGAGGGAAGGAGAGTAAAGAGGGGAAGAGGAGTATCAGGGAGGAGGAGGAGGGAGAAGGGGAGGAGTATCAGGGGGGAGGAGGAGGGAGAAGGGGAGGAGTATCAGGGAGGATGAGGAGGGAGGAGGGGTATACCCTCTCCTCAGAGCAATTTCCTCCTCCTCCTCAAGAGCTGCGCTCTAATTCGGCGTTACCAAGTGTTGTAAACGTCTTTTTTTTTTTTTTTCAAGAAACTTGCGTCCATGAAATTTGAGCACCGTATTTTCCGGACTATACGGTCGAACCAGTTTACAAGAAACTCCGACACACATGCTAGTTTAATATATCACATAGTTGGTTTTATCAGAACTCGCATATTGCAAATTTGAATGGTGGGAATTTGAAATACGACAAATTGACATTAAATGTGCGGAAAACACTCGTGGATAATTTCTTCAGTGGACTGCGAAAAAAATATTCAACTCAAGAAAACGTAACTGATAATGCACTAGGTGGGCTAATAAATAAAACGGGAAGTAATTCTAGTTTAACTGTTTCTTCCGCTGAAGCGTTCGCTGGAATTCTAGTTTAACTGTTTCTTCCGCTGAAGCGTTCGCTGGAATTCTAGTTTAACTGTTTCTTCCGCTGAAGCGTTCGCTGGAATTCTAGTTTAACTGTTTCTTCCGCTGAAGCGTTCGCTGGAATTCTAGTTTAACTGTTTCTCTCGCTGAAGCGTTCGCTGGAATTCTAGTTTAACTGTTTCTTTCGCTGAAGCATTCGCTGGAATTCTAGTTTAACTGTTTCTTCCGCTGAAGCGTTCGCTGGAATTCTAGTTTAACTGTTTCTTCCGCTGAAGCGTTCGCTGGAATTCTAGTTCAACTGTTTCTTCCGCTGAAGCGTTCGCTGGAATTCTAGTTTAACTGTTTCTTTCGCTGAAGCGTTCGCTGGAATTCTAGTTTAACTGTTTCTTTCGCTGAAGCGTTCGCTGGAATTCTAGTTTAACTGTTTCTTCCGCTGAAGCGTTTGCTGGAATTCTAGTTTAACTGTTTCTTTCGCTGAAGCGTTTGCTGGAATCCTAGTTTAACTGTTTCTTCCGCTGAAGCGTTCGCTGGATTGGAGGTTCTAGACTCGCGCGAAGTAGATAGAAATCGCTTACCCTTTTTTTGAGAAGCTGCTACCCTTTTTTTGAGAAGCTGCTCAAGTTGTCCCGATTACAAGCGAGCCACAAGCGCTCGTGTTTTAAATTTGGGGCTGGCAGTACGGCAGGCGTGTTTGGATTTTCCAACCTCGATGCCAAAACCTATACGAAACCAGTGAAACCGTATAGAAGCACCTGTGCAAGCTCACTCGTTGTGCGTCCATGCGCCCGCATGCATAGTGTACTATGACAAGAACAAGATTCATGCTGAGGCTGGTCGAGAATGCCGTTCGTAAAAAGGTCGGGTTGGCCGTCCCCGCGTCGTAATCGTAAGTTGAGATTTTGGGCTGCAGTGGAAAAGTCGTTCTGTCGGCTCGAGCATGGGTGCAGCGGGCCGCACAAGAGAGAGCCTAGGCTACAGAGTGTTTCTAGCTGCTCAATCAGGGTCATGTTGTCTATGGGCCGCATTTGCAATCTAGCTGCGAGGGGGTGGCCAAAGTGTGGATCATTTGCAAACGTCTCCGCCTTTCCGCCTGCTTTCCTCCTCGCCGCGCGACAACGCAGCGCATGCGCACTTGCGACCAATTTTTGCAAGAAGCGCCCGCCATTCGATTGCAAATGCTCCCGATGGTTTGAGATGGTCCATCTCTCCAATCTAGGCTGCCATTGCAATTGCGGCGCACTCGTAGCGGCTGCCTCAAGGAAGATGCTTTTCGTGCTCGGCCGCTCGGCGTGATCCTCGCGATTCTGAATGCCTCAACGAAGTCCGGCTTCTTTTTGCCATGCCCTTCGCAATTACTGTATTTTCCGGACTATAGTCCGCAGAGTTAAATTTGGGGTCAAAAATGAAAGTTGTTGCTTAGATAGTCCGCACCCGCTGCATGGTCTGCACCTGGTGCTTAGTCGACACGAAATTCTTCTCATACGCGGCACACCTTGACATATGTATGTTTTCTTAGCTCACAAAAAAAGCCTATAATATACATAAATTATCAATAACATACTCTTTTATTCACAAAATCCGTCCCGTCTCGTCATAATCAACGATATCAGGGGTGGAACGGCTGCGCCATTTGCGCCATTTTGCGCCAGACGCATATGTCTGCGCCATACTGCGCCATGTTGCAGAAACTGCGCCACAGCCAATACCTCGCGCCATTATGCGCCGGATCGCAAAACGTGCGCCAAGAAACTTTTTTTATTTTGTCTTGGTTTCGGTTTTATTGACTCGATTGGCAACAATGAGCGCGTTCAGCCTGGTCGGCCTTGCAATCCTTTGTTCTGTTTATTCTCCCTGTGTATCCCGAGTCGGAAGCGCGCGAAAAAACTCGGATTCTAAGCGCCACGCCACCTGCGACTGGATTGTTATTCTTCAACCATAAGCGGTTAAGCAAGTCGGCTGAGGTGAGGTCGAGTCGTTAAGCGTCAGATTGCCTGAGGCTCTGCGGCCCGGGATCCGGACGTCAGCCAGTTGAAAACAAATGAGCAAGATATTCCTTTTAGTACTTCGTCGTTACAAGTTGGAACCGCATTCTCGCAAGATAAATCGTGATTTGATTGAACTGAAACGCGGTCCGATCCGAAACCTTTCCGGCCAGCAGCTCTTTTGCGAGTGATAGATCTGCTCGGCGTACTTTAACCTTGCTCCTGCTATACGCTTCAAATACGATAACTTCGTTAATCGTAGTCTGCTGCTTCGTAATCGAGTTGCACAATAGCATAAACGCGAATTTTGTTGCCTTGTTCCTCCGTGCAACTGCATGTCCATTGCTTGCGCACGTCACGGGGTTCGCACATATAATTACTATGTCGAGCACATGTGGGTTGTACGAGAAGCAGTGCTGGTTTGCATTTTGAGCAGCTGAAAGCCGCTCGGAAAATATCAAGGACGCTATCTTGAGAAACAGGGTACTGGCTTTTTGATTCTCATTAAGGCTCACCAAGTTTCAAGTTTTCGCATCTGTTACACTGTTATCCCATCTACCTAGGTCCCTAACCATTCATGTTCATCTGTTCTGCTAAGTACGATTGAAATTGCTCCCGTGCTTGTCTAAGACGCAAGCTGAAGTGCAATGAAAACTGATCTGAGCTGCTCCTAGCCTGCTCCAGAACGTAGTTTTAGCTGCTCCCAACCTGCTCCAAAACAGCTGTTCCACCTGCTCCCGTGGCTGCTCCCAAGTACATTTCATGAGTTCCACCCCTGCGATATTGAAAAACATAATTCCTGTATAGTCCGCACGCGTAGATAGTCCGCACAACCAGAAATTTCAACTTTTAAACATGTATAGTCCGCGGACTATAGCCCAGAAAATACGGTAATTCTTTTGACTTTGTCCGAGAATGGTAAATACTGTCGCTGCTTGTTTACCTTTTCTCGCGAGAAAAGGATTTGAAAAGTGAAATCAAAAAGAACAAAGCCCACGTGAAGCGGCAGCGAATGAGCAAAGGAGCTGACGACACGCACTCTGGTCCGCAGAGGCGATGTGCTTGGCAGCGCTTGGCGAGGAGGGAAACGCACACTTTGGCGGTGACGCGATTTTTGCAGCGAACAAACAATCACGTGCTGTAAGCGCCCAAGTGCAGTAGGAAGGCATGCTTGGGCTGCATGGCAACACTTTGGAGAAACACTCTCCATGGCACGCCACATGCCTTTGTTTTTCCCTTGAAGTGGTGGATCACTCTTTTTTGTCTTCGGCCTGCACTTCATGACACTTTTAATGCGAAAGCATTAACTGTCTCATGGAGCGAGCTGACGTCATCAGTTTGAAGCGCAAAAACGGCACCTAGTTTCCCTGATCCTTCAGTTCCATTGGCTGGCGCGCGTTGACGGGGCTCCCATTGGCCGCTGCGCTCTTTAGTTTCCATGACCGCTCACCCCATGGTGCTGCGTGTCCATCAGCGCGCCGTTAACACGGAGCGTCCAAGGTCACCAGGGGAGCACGCACACTGACCGGTGACGAAAAGTATGCAGCACATGGAAAAGGGAGCGGACGAGCGGCTTGCATGCTTTCGCATTCACAACTCGTAAGAAGTGCTTAGGTGTACCTGAATCTTTTTTTTTCTTTTTCTTTCGGAGATAGGACAGGTGTCTGCACGTTTCTGAGAGCGGTTTTCGGTTTCATAGTTAGATATAGCCAATAGGTTGTTCGTTATAATAGAAGGAGATTTTACGTGCATTTTCATTTCAAATATTTGGGTGTTTGATATAGACAGTAATTCGTTGTACCCGGGTTCGTAATACGCAGGCGCGACTGCGAAGTAATAAAATGGGCATTTGTCAAGGCGCTTTTTTCGGGGCAACAGAGTATGAGAATTTTGTTAGGTGCGGTGTAGGCGCCAGGTGCAAACTGGGTACCAGATTTCTAAGGAAAAACTTGTTTGTTTTGACCGAAATTTGACCTCGCAGATTATATGCCAAATTTGGACTATAGTCCGGAAAGTATGGTGGGATAAATTTATCCAGAAACATTTGCGAAAAGTCGCATTGCATTCCATTCATTGCCTTAGTTATACATTTTTTTTTTTATGACTGAATATTGCTTGTTATTTCTTTGTATAAAAAGAGCCCCAGGTGGTTGCAGGCGGTCAGTTTCGCAGTCGTCGCCAATTGTGACAGATTCTGAGCCAGTTTCTTTTTAAGTGTGGGTTTGCCTCAACAACGGTGTTATGTTTGCATTGCAGCCACCCACAGAGTCTTCCGACGTCCCCCCAGCAGCCGCATCTGCTACCAAGGACCTGGAAGCCAAGGCCGCGGCTCCTTCCAAGAGGCCCGCTCTTCCCCGTGTGACGCAAGACCTATCCGCAATTCGTGTGGCTCCGGAGTTTGTCGGCGAAGACGTCAAGCCGCTCCGCCGAGACGGCAATGAAGACGGCTACGACACGGACCGGGAGGAAGAAAGCGAGGAGGAAGCGGAGACCGGCCAATCCTCCATTGCCCCGGAGGAAGCAAAGACAGGCCAATCCTCCATTGCCCTGGCCTCCGGCGTTCCTTCCGAGAAGAGCGGCCCTGCCGCGAGCGCCGCCGCGTCCGCCGTGGCAACACCGGCCGCCGCTGCAACGCCGACGGTTGAGGAAAGGGCGGTCCGCCGTCGAAAGCGAAAGTCCGGTAAGGACCTTCCGGGGACCCTGCAGTACACGGACCTGGTGTCTCGCGCTTCCGGCACCAAGAACCCGTGGGCTCAGTATCTGAGAGCCCGTGTCCCGAAGAGCAATTCCGACGGCCCCAAAGACCCAGAGCAGACCACAGAAGTTACGGAACAATCGACGGAGGCTGCGGAGCAGTCCACGGAAGTTGCGGAGCAGTCCACGCGGGTCACGGAACGACCGGCTCTCTCGTCAACAAAAGCGACTGAGGCCTCCGAACATTGCGAGGACAAGGATCGTCCCGACGCTCGTGCGGCCAGGCAGAAGTCTCGTCCCATTGCCACGAAGGTACGTGAACTTGCCCGGATCAACGTCGCTTATTAAGCTATGTTTTAGAGTAACGGCACTCAATCATCTTTGCTTGAAACCTATAAAACTTTAAGGAGCTCGTCGCGCAGAAAAGCCTGCGTCGGTGTCAGTGTCGGCGTTGGTGGGACGTAAAAACTTGAGGCGAGATGTTCTGGCTTAACATAGCCAGAACATCTCACCCTCATTGGAAGCACCATTTACTATAAACTTAGCTCGTAGAGGCTTCCCAAGCTTCAAAGTATCAAGGGCCAGAAGAACCCCATACATTCAAACAGAAAAAGTGAATCGCATTTTCTACAATTAATTTTTCCATTAAGGGGTATTCTACCCAGAAAAAAAGATTTCTGCAAAAAAAAGTTGATTTTGAAAAATGGCACATTTACATCCACCCAAATCTAGAGTATTTGCAGAAAGTTTCATTTGTTTACGCAGCATAGTTATTTTTTTATAAATTATTTTCGATCCATTGATGCTAAAGAAAAGGTAGAGGCTCGAGCACTTTGGAAGCATTTTTCTCAGTTCAGCTTTTTGGCATAAATCCCACCTTAATAAAACTATTGTTTGAGTATGACACTATCGAGAGACTTAATATATGTAGCGTACCGTATCTCCACGAATATAACGCCAAGTTGTTTTTTTTTTAATTACATGCTCCAAAACGCTCCTCGCATTATATTCGGAGTCGAGTTCAGCCATGAGTAGGTGCGCGAGTCTGGAGAAAGTTAAAGCCCCTCTATCCTGGGAAAAGTGGCGCCATTCATTGTTGTGGAAATGCTCCAGGCACGTGCCGCGCGCCCCTTCTGGGAAGAACATGGCATCCGAAATCTAGCTCTATGCTGCGCTGTGTCGCCATGATCTTCCCAAGGGCTGCACGTTGCACGAGCCTCGTGCATCGACGCACCTTGCGCCACTTTTGAAACATAAAGGGGCTTTAGAGAAAGCCATCCCTCCTGCTAAATGCAGGAGATCGGTGGAAAAAGAAGTTGGGGTGTGGGAGGGAATTTATTAGCTATTGGGCTACGTGAAGGGGCGAATAGAAAACAAAAAGCATTTTTATCGCTTTTGTGTTTGTACAACGCCCACGCCACGCACCATCGGGCACTGGCAAATTCAAGCCAAGCCAAAACCACCCACCGCGTTTACTCAATCGTGCAACACGAGGTCTTTGTTTATGCAGAGGGACCCAAACAAGAACAAGTGTGATCGTGTATCGGGTTCACAGCAGTCTTTCTTTTTCTGCCTGCGCATTTTTTTACTTCCTGCTCCAGAGTGGTCGGGTATTTGTGTGATGGTGCTTCTGCCTTGTGCCTTGCTTGGATTGTGGGCTGCCAAGGAGCTCACGCCCAAGAAAAAAAATTACCGCATCTCCACGTGGTGAATGATGTCGATTTGGGCGAAGCTCGAGTGGTGCTGATGATACTGATATTGGTCATAGGTAGTGCTGGTGGTGCCGTTTTCATTCATGTCAGTAGGAGAATGTGTGGTTTTCTTCGTTTTCCTTTTTTAAGAAGACAGATGGGATGGCAACTCCGAACTCCCTACTCTTTTTTTTCTTCTTTTTCTTGATACTGATTTTGGTCATAGGTAGTGCTGATGGTGCCAATTTCATTCAGAGAATGTCAAGTTGACATTCTCAAGTAGTTCCTTCCTTAAAAGGCAACTCTGCTTCATTCTTGTTTTTGAACAAACAATGCAGTCCTCTTCAGTATCACCTAGGAAGACCCCACGCCAAATATTACGACGTAGTTCTGCCTAAATGTTTCTTAAATGGTCCAGCAAACTTTGCAACTCACCAGGTTGCCAAAATCGGCTGACTCGAACAGGCAAGTTGGGGCACAACCAATAACGCAGTCGAGGCTATGGCGTGGGCGTAGGCAACATTCAGCTGAACGCCATCACCATTGCCCCCTTTTTTTCTAGTTTTTACTCCTTCGGGCAAGCGTAACGGGTGACATCAGCAACATTTTCTCTCGGCACTGAGCAGTCTGGCGATGCACATCACAGGAGCGCTCCGTGCATTGGCAGTCGCTGCTTTATGCCCGGGCGTTCGGTTATCCTGCCAACAGCGAGCTCCCACTACCGCTCTCTTTCTTCCACCGTTTAGTTTGACTAGCAAAGCCGCATTGCCTCTGCTCGTTTGTTTTCCGGCCTCCTCCAGTTCCCGTTTCTGAGCATGTGGTATCTCGGCTGTATAACGAGTTGCACTGCCTTGGCCTGCTCTTCATACAGGCTGTTTTCCTTAGGCTTTACAGATTTGTTTTAAAAAAGCCACAAAAGCCACACTACTAATCTGGTCTGTGCAGGCAACTTGTATGGCTAGGAGAGATAATACAGGGGGCTAATTGCCATGATAAGTCGTATAATTAACTAAAATGTGTTAATCATTTCATTAGTTTAAATAAATATATATGTTTCAATTAGAAGCTTGCCGAGCATTATCAAAAACCTCTAAACCAGTCAAATGTAGAGAGACTTTGAGCTCTTGGGAAGCGTGGTAGTTCACCGAAGATACCACTCGGGCAACAGGCGCAAAGCCTGTGGTGCGGAAACGCAAATGATAAGAGGTAGAAAACTGCGGGCTACCTTCAGCTCACCGCCATGCTTTTCACGCTCTTAGAGTGTTTCTAAAATGGACTGATTTAGTAGTTCTTGATTATGCTCAGCAAGTTTGTAATTGAAAGCATATATTTGTCTTCACTAATTAAAAAGTTAATTCACACATTTTAGTTAATTAACCGAAATATTGTGACAACTAGCCTTCTATGTTATGCTCTCTGGTTATACTTCACCTGCATAGACTGCATCTGTGTAGCTTAGATGTTTTTTTGTTTTTCTTAAATAGTCTGCAAAGCCCCAAAATTTAACATCCTGTATATACCCAACTTAGCTCTTAGAATATTGTAGAATTTGCCTTGGCAAGCCACCAGCCGCACAGTGAAATTCCTCCCTGGTCACGTGAAGCACCTGCCACCACCAGCACACCTTGTCGCTTTCCAGCGCTACAATGTCATACAAGCTGTATTCCCTTCCCTCCGTGGCGACCTGCTACTCGCTCCGCCACCATTACCTGGGCAACCCACTTGGTAGCAATGACGAGCACACACCCCGACCGGCTGACTGGCGTTACGGGCTAATAACGGCTTCGGGAGTTCAGTATCCCTTCTCAGACGAGCTGCGTCGAAAAAAGGCATATCAACAGAGTCGCCTGTGCCTTATCTAAGCGAGGAAATGACGCTAGTGCCGCCACGAGTTTCAAACAGGCAGTGTGTAATAAAAGTGTGCCTGCACTCGATCTTCACTGACTGGTGGAACCGTCTGCCAACAGGCCACGACCAGCGGCACCTTTACAGTGACCCCCGTCGAGAAGGTGGTGCGGCCGGCCAAGAGGCAGAGGGTAGAAAAAGACGACAGCGAGGAGGAGGCGCCCAGGATCACCGGGAAACAGGTGAGTGGACACTGTTTCAGGGAGTGCGCTGGGCCTGTGGGGGAATGCAGCTGGAGCGGGGCTGAATGTGGGAGGGGAAGGTGGCGCATCTCGGCCACTGCCTTGTATAGTGGAAGGAGGAAGGTAGCAGCGTTGTTGAGCGAACGACGAGAGCTGCTGCAATACGTGCAGGTGCATAGTACCGATATGCGCCAAAGAGCGAGATCTGCTTTGTTGAGCAAAGAACAGCAAGAGCTTCTATGATAAGCACAGATGCACGGCATATAGTGCTGCTGTCATAAACGCAGGTGCACGGTGCAGATACTTGGCACAGATGAGTGATGAACAGTGACAGCTGCTATGATAAGCATATGCGCGGCACAGATAACCATTGAACAGCAAAAGCTGCTACGATATGCACAGATGGAGAACACAGATGCACTCACCGCGCAGGATAAGTGCGGCGCAGATAAGCACCGATCAGCAAACGCTACGCAATAAGCTCAGATGCACGATACGGACACACAGGCCAAGTGCCGGCCTACGGATCCCTAGGTGGCGAATTCAAATTCTGGCCATAGGTTCCTGTAATCTGACTGAGGCGCATTGAAGAGAATATGTAACCAAGATTTTTGTTGCTCATCGAAAGGTCTCTGTCAAAATTAATCCTCTGACTTCCGCTGAGGCCTGTCAGAGGCCCTTTGTTAGTTTGCCACGTGAAACCCCTAAATTTGACTGACATTACAAATACACAGCACAAATAACCGCTGAACAGTGACAAATGCTATGATGTGCATGGCACAGATAAGCACCCCCGATACACAATGCAAGTACAGAGCACAGATTAATAAGCATATGCATAGCACGGATAAGCACCAAACAGCAAGACCTACGTGATAAGCACAGATGCACAGCACATACATGCACAGGATGGTGTAGCTACTACAATAAGCAGATGCACACCACAGGTAGGCACTGAACGGCAACAGCTATGATAAGCACGTGCACAGTGCAGTTAAGTGGAGCACAGCTAAGTACTTATAGCAAAAACTGCTATAGCACAGATAATCACTTAGCAATGAGAGCCGCTACGATAAGCAAAAATGCAGGTCAGATAAGTACAACACGGCAAGAGCTGTTACAGCTAGTACAAATGCACACCACAGATAACCACTGAGCAGCAAATGCTGCTACATACTGTAAAACCCGTAATGTTCGGGAGCCCTCAATTTTCGCAAATTTCACGAATTGAAGAATTCACGAAATTTAAGGGCGCGCGAAAATTTCGGTCCTTAAGATTTTCAATGCAGGCGTCTGGAATTTGCGAAATTTAGTGGTCGCGATTATGTCATCTGTGACCGATTCGCGAAAAATAGGGGCCGCAAAAATAAAGGGTTTTACAGTATAACTAAGCAAATGTAAAGATGTTGGAGGTTAAGCATAATGTACAACCTCGAGACATAGGGCACAAACATTTCGTAACCTAACCTAACTAAATTTGTGCAAACCAACTTTGAAGCTTTGAAATAAAGAATAATCTACTCTGCTCACACTGTGCACCTGGTTTGGTCAGTTCAGTTTTGGGAAACAACCTGCATCAATAAAGAAAGGTTTTATTGCTCAACTTGACCGATGGCCAAGGGCCTTAAGAAGGCTTTCAGGGACCCCAAAGGGTCCATGCACCCCCCATTTGAAAACCACTGCGATATCCACAAGATATTGACAGGAGAAAGGAGCACAAGCTAGAAAACATGTGGAGGGAAGAGAAAAGTGATGAGCATTAGCAAAATATTTTACCTCCATGTGTTTATTTTCAGAAACGGCGAATGATGCTGGCTCAGAAAGTGACCAAGGTGGGCCACCACTTCTACGATTATGCCAACGTCAAGAACAGGAACCGCGGCAAGAAAGTCAAGGCCAGCAACGGCACCCCCAAGTCCAGCCGTTCTAAGAAAACTAAACAGTAGGGTGCATGCGGGGCCTTCTAAAGATTGTAATAAATGTACAATGACGAAAATACAAGGAACGCCTTTGAGGAGTGGTACATTGCATCCGTGCCATGAAATAGAGAGAGAGTGCCCATGTTCGTACGACAGTGATGGAACTACTGCATGATTTCCACCAAATTGCACCATGAACGAAAGTCTGTCGCATCTTGCGTCAAAATACCACTTCTGCTAAGACTCGCGCCATACAGGCGCCGCAATAGGCCTAAACAAATCAAAAGAATATGAATATTTTATTATTGGTCAGTCCTAATATTTCAACAAGCAGAAATAAATAAAAATTGTAAAAGAATGCATTTTGCCATGTCTTTACTAGTCTGTTTTACCTTAGGTTAGAGCACAATCAAAGGCTCTTACACATAGGTACAACCATGAGCACACACTCACAACAGAAAGTTTATTAGAAAATGTGTGCTTAAATACCCAAAATAAAACCTAGTCACTTCCAGCGTTCCCCTTTTTTTCTAAATATAGAAGTTCTTTATCTGATAAGGCCACTGACCGCTCCCTAATACAGATATCAGCCCCTCTTGTTTTGATAAGGAATGCTTCATGAATCTCTCTGGTTGTTTTTTTGCTGTGTTGCCCCAGGATGAATGTGTTTGACAACTTCGGGGTGCACGGGCATCGATCACAATGCACGGCCATATGGCCTGACGGCGTCCGTTTGATAGTTGCCGCGCGCTCCCTCGCACAATCATTAATGCAGCGGCCTGTTTGCCCTACATACGAGCACCCAAAGGATAATGGTATATCGTAGACAGATGTTTTACAATCCAGAAACTTCGTTTGGTGTTTCTTTTTGCATTCCTCACTAGCCTCTTCCGGAGCATTTATCCCTCTGCACAAGGCCGAGAGTTTCTTCGGGGCCGAAAAAACAACCGGAACGTTGTAACGCTCTGCAACTTTTTTTAAGTTGTGGGAGACAGCGTGAAGGTAAGGAATGATGGCCGGTCTGGTTTTGTGCCGTTCAGGCTGTCCATTGGAGTCTTTTGTAGGTTAATTTTTTATGCTTTGTTTTTTGTCTGAATTAAGAATTGCAGTTTTGTTACGACCTCCCAGAAGTTGAAGAACACATAAATCTAGGTGCTCAAAATGATTGTGTTTTAACATTTGTTCAGTGGGATTTCGTGCCTAAAATAATCATTCACGGCAGTTTGCGCTGTCCTTTATCAGTCGTCGTCTTGTTACCGTGTCTAGTGTTTCCACAAGCAACTAAACAGCTAGTGTTTGTTCTCCTAATATTTGCCATCTCTCCTCCTCACATTTGCAGTGATATAAATGAAAATCAAGTGTGCGGTTATGTTCCAAAAGTTCTTTTTGCTTCTCCAAAATGAACTTTTGGCTCCTTCAATAGCTGCTCCAAAATGACTACGAGGGTGACGTCGCGCAACGTCAGGACGACACTAACAAGACGTCGTAGGGACGTTTGATGTTGCATTGGGCATCGGCAACCACGTCCACGTCGTCCTCAACACGGCGCAACGTCAGGACCACGTTACAACGGCGACTTGATGTCTCGTAATGGTGTCGTCCCCGATGCGACACAATCTTACCATTAAGCATGGAACAGATGAGCAGTGAAACTGGGCACTACGTGCCGTTCGCCGCTAGGCACGCCACAGGCACACCGCACAGCTTTATCTGCATCGACCAGATCCGAGCAACGCCGCGCTGCGCGAAAGTGACATAGGGAAGCCAGCACCGGTTGCTATGATCCTCGAAGAACCCAAGGCGTGCAAACCACTCTTGCTGCAGACGACCAAACCGCAACGCGTATCGAGCTGTCACTCTCGCAACTCGTAACACTAGCGACTGCGACCATCGAGAAACTCGACAACCTCACCACTCTTATTGCAACCTCCCTTCTCGCCACCCACAATGACGTCGTGCCCGACAACAGGCGGCAGCGCAGACGGCGCTGATTGTGCGCTTACCGGTCGGCCGTCAGATCCTTTCGGCCCAGGATTAACAGTTCTGCAATGGAATTGCCGCTCCTACCGACAGCACGGTCCAGAACTCAAGAGACGGCTGGCCGCAAGCGCCCTTCCCCCCCCCCCCCCCCCCCCCCCCCCCCGACATAATCCTACTACAAGAGGCTAGGGTGCCAGAGCCCAACATTGTAGGCTACCGGGCCTTCAGTACCCCTACCATCATCGTCGCCCAGAAGGGCCCACGTCGGAAAAGAGACGCACAGGGAACCATTTCTGTGCCCCAGGCACATGCCCATGTGCTACTAAAAAAATCGATCCCTGCTGCCCAGCTCGACACCTTGCGTTACTGTTCCGAGCAGCGCGAAGTAAAGGCGGTATCGGCGCGCCTCCGAGACAAGGATATCGTAGTCGTGTCTGTGTACTGGAGACCGCATAGTACCACCGACGACGAAGATGCAGAATTGCTCAAGCTCCTGCGTACCCGCACTATTCACCCTTTGCCTGTGCTGATCGGAAATGACCTTAATGCGCACCACACGTCGTGGGGGTCGAAATCAAACACCGTACGAGGCCGAAGCGTAGCAGACAACGCACTTGTGGCAGGCCTCGTGCTCGCCAATTCGCCTGACGTGGTAACCCGTCGGGCCGATAGACAACAGCAAGATTCTACATCGCCAGACGTAACATGGTATTCTTTAAGCCTTAGGTGTTCATGGGCGGTGGTGGATGACACCTGGGGTAGCGATCACTTCCCAGTTATCATCGGCCTCGGCGAGAAATCTCGCGCTCTTGCTACACGCACCGTAAGCACAACCCAATGGGACGACTTTCGCGAGGTGCTCGCAGAACTACCGCCTCACGAGCCACTTTTCAATCGTATTATTCGAGCCAAGGAGATTGTGATGCGGTCGGTGAACGTAGCGCCGAAGCTCCGACTCCTGATCAGCACTTGCTTAATTTATGGGAATCGAGGATTAAAGCCTAACACTGCTACCTAGAGGGCGGCAAACTCCCGCCTGACTGTCTCGCTTTAACCGTACATCGGCAGAAGCAAAACGCTATTCCCTCGAGCTCGCGGAAAGAGCGGCATGACCGCTGCATGTCTTTCAATGGGCGCACACCACCAGCCAAGGTCTGGGTGATGATGCGTAGTATGACAAAGAACCAACGTCAACAGTTGGAGAAGACATGGCCCTCCGGTTCGCAATCTCCAATGAAGAATTCGAGAGCAAAGCTGGCCCCGTATTTTTAGATGCGGAGCATCTCTTGCTCGGGCTATGTCCCGCGGCGTCGTAGTCCGCACTCACACTACGCATGCGCCACTCTCCTCGCTGCGCATGCATTCTCTCTCTCCAACAGCTGCGCGAAGTGCACGCAGCTACCAGCTGCGTGCACTTCGCGTGCGTTCGCTTCTACTCACACTGCGCGCGCAGGTGCAACTCTCCTCCTCTAGTTTCTTCTCCTTCAAGTTTGAATGTAAGCAGCGGTAGCGCGCTGCGCGCGTTCAAGGGGAGGAAGTGGCTGAGTTCAATAAAGAAAAAAAAAAGGAAGTGGCCGAGTGGGCTAACGCGTCTCAGCTCGGAGCGCTGGAGCGAAAGCTTGCGCCGAGAACCTCCTGGGTTCGAGTCCCCGCCACCCCCGCCCGTTTCGATCTGGATGAGTTTCGTACCGGCACGCGTTCGTGTGACGACTACTGCGAGATGCACGTTAAAAATCCCAGGTTAGCGGTTGTACTGCACTGGCTAAATTTCTCATCTAAAAGCTAAGGGACCGATTACCCGTTGAGGCGCATCTCCATCAAGGCTGTATAAACATAAAGAGCAAACCAATTTCTGCGCGCGTTCAGTTCACCGCTGTTGACTCCACTTCACTTCGTTCTTCCGATGAAGTGAGATGGAACGATGCTCCGCATCACCCCATGGTTCCCCTCGGGAAGATGGTGTAATTTTTCCACAGGAATGTCCTGCGAGTTATGACCCAGCCAAGGTTAGATTTTTATTCCCTCCACCTCAAGAACCCACGGACCCAGGTATGGAGTGGCCCTTTACCATGGCAGAGCTGCAGGGCGCACAATCACAAAGTTGCATGGTGCCCCGGGGCCCAACATGATAACTGTCCCGGCCCTTCGCAACCTTCCGGAGGCAGCGATGCAAAAACTTCTGGACATCTTCAACGAGTCCTGGGAGCTGGGTCAACTTCCCGCCATCTGGCGCCACGCCTCGGTTATACCAATCCCCAAACCAGGCCGAACCCCAAAACGGCTCACAGATATGCGACCCACCTCTCTGACGTCACATGTCGGGAAGCTTATGGAGAGGATGGCGCTGATGCGGTTGGAATGGCACATTGAAGCAAACAATGTCCTCCACCCGTGCCAGACTGGCTTCCGCCGGGGTCTCAGCACGCAGGACTCGCTGGCCCTCTTCGCTGAGGATCTTGCCGGCAAGCACCCGCGCTACGACATCAAGATTGCAGTCGCTATAGACGTGAAGAAGGCTTTTGATAGTGTTCCACAACCTACAGTGATGGCCGCCGCATCCGCGGCGGGCCTCACCGGCAAGCCTCTCCAGTATATCAGGGCGTTCCTCAAGGGGCGCACCTTCAGTGTCTCAGTAGGAAATGCACAAGCTTTTACGGCTCCACTCGAGCTAGGAGTCCCACACGGCGCGGTGCTTTCTCCGCTATTCTACAACCTAGTGATGTCGGATTTGAGCCACCGCCTCGACAAGATCCCAGGCATCCGCCACACCATTTATGCAGACGACATCACAATCTGGACGACGGGTGGCCCAGTTGACCCTCAAAATGATTCCGCCCAAGAAGCACTGGACATCATCGCCGGATTTTTGATAGAACATGGTCTAACTCCGTCACCTGATAAGACGCAGTACGCCGTGTTTGGAAACACCAACGCACGCCGAGAGGTGACCCCGTGCATCGAACTCAAGTTTGGGGGCACAGTCATCACTGCCACAAACGTGCTGCGTGTTCTTGGTGTCAACCTTTCCGCGCACGGTTCACCTGTGACGTGGCTGAGCAAAGCCTCCGTAGTACATATGCTGCACCTTGTCTGTCGCACCACAGCTAAGGACTGGGGCGCCGACACCCACACATTACGCATGCTTGTTAGGAGCCTCATCCAAGCCAAGATGCTTTACGGAACACAGCACGTAGGCATCACTAGGAAACAGCGTGAGGCCCTAGAGGTCCTTAATCGGCGTGCCATGCGTACCGGGCCTGCCAAACTTCACGCCGGTTGACACGCTGCAGGCTTACGCTAGACTCAACACCATTGGAGGCCCGTTACACGAGGCATGCCTCGGGCAGCACATCCGCCTTTCACAATCCAGACCGGGAC